CTCAATAAGATCAGGGGTTGAAGCTAATGCCCTATTTCAGGCTCAGAAATAGCCATCATTTCTATATCCTAGACTTCCTCTCCAACGATATACCTGCCTGCCCCCAGAAATTGAAGTACTGACTGTATTTTTATAGCAACACAGAAATGCCCTCAAATTTTCATCAATTCTGTTCATAATTCCTATTAATTTAGGAATTAATAACTTAGAAAGAAACCAAGGAAATGGCCTCCCTGGGAATGTTTGTTGCATTTTTATGGGCATGGATCGCGCTTACAGTGCAGGCTGCTTGGGAAAATAGTTCAAGAGTCTTGTACTAAGCCAGACACAGAAGTGCTGCCCAGACTTGATTCACATTCTTGGGATTATTGCTGATTTGAAGCTTTCATGCTCAGTAGCAATGGCATGAGGAAATGGAATCTGGTAATAATTGGGCAGATTCATCCAGGCCCACCTGTTAGCTGCTGGTGGGTACAGATGTTCTCTAGCTGGCCACTAAAAACACTAAAACGTTGATATATTTTCTCTGCCAACATCCTGCCATATTCCTAATTTTATTGCTCTTGGTAGGAACTTCTCGTGGGGGACGGGAAAGGTTTTCAATTTCAGGTTCAAGGAAAGGAAGTTGTGTTTATGAAATAACTCAAGGGGTCTGCAGCTCTCAAGCTCCCATAAAACCTCAGTGTTTGAACTGGTTTTGCAAAAGGTTCCATACAGCTTCCCTGTTGGGCATGAATCTTCTTACATATACATTTAATTATGGACATATATGGTGTGTTCTATCTTCGTGCAAGGATGACTGAAGCAAGAAGCTATGTGTCTGCAGAATTAGTTTCTGGGTGAGGCACTTGGTGACTATTCTCGGGCTGGAAACAGTGCCGTCACCCAGAATTCACGATCTTGAGGACAAAGATGGTCAGACCTGAAGCTTCAAAAGCCTTTCAGAACTCTGCTGACGTTAGCCAAGCTCGAGGAGCTCCGAGGGCCCCAAATGCCCACTTACCTGGTCTATGCAGAGCAAAGCACTTTGAATGTATTGGGCGGGGCGGGGTGTGGACCCATGTTGCATATGTGCTGCAGGTGCTTCTTTACGATAGAGCTTCCTGGGGTCCACCCTTTATGTTCTGATAGGTGAACTAGGCAGGACCTGGGACAGTGCTGTGTGCACAGAGTTGCCTGTAGGGTGACAAAACTGCGGCGTTGGGGACCTCCCAGGGGCCTGGAGCTGTTGCACCTGCCGGGAAGGGGTTGGACCTGACAAGCAGAGCTCAGTCCCTGGGCAGACTGGTTGAGCCCGGGGGCACCCCTGGATGCTGGGTTCTGGTTGTGTGTAAGCAGTGCCCGTCCTGTGGACTACCCAATGATGCTGTACCCTTCCTTGGGCTGTGCTCAAGGAAGGGTACAGCACTTAACCTGGAAGCTTTTCATGTGCATCTTTTTTAAATCTGTAGAATTTAGATTTTTTTTGTTGTTTGGCTTAGTAGAATGTTGGGAGACTTTTTTGGAGGGACACAGGAGGTAGAGGCAGGCACGGTCCCGCTCATCTGCCTACCTGGGCTCCATCCTTCATGTCACAGCTGCTGGCCTGTGTTGCCGTCCCTTCACGGGCACCCCGGGGGGGTTCCCTCTGTGTCCCTGTGGCTGCTGGGGGGCCCACGCTCGGGGATCACGCCCCACCCTCCCATGGGTTCTATGGCCACGGAGGATTCGGGAAGAATTCAGAGTGCTTAAACGCAGGGTGCCTGCTGTCAAGTCAGGATTTGTTTTTTAACTGACGGCCCTGCTTCGCCCTGCTTTTCCTGGTATGATAGTTCTCTATGATTCCATGTCATCTTTTTTTTCGTGACTACAAAATAATAGAGACAGATTTTTCATTCTGAAAAAGTGCTCACCTTAACCCCAGCAAAAAAACAAAATGAACAAGTGGACTTTTCATCTTTAATGACAAATTACTCTTGTAGTTAGTGGTTAGACAAATTATGCTTATAACTAATAAGTGTGGGCATCGGTTTTTATTAGCACCTTTGGACACTTGTTGATCTAAAAGTGCTGGTCGTTAGCAAAAGTAATAAGGCAGGATCAAAGTGTCATTCCTAATTAGGTCTTGTTAAAGCTCTTTAAAATTACCTCTCTACCTTGGAAGTGAGGTGGTTTACTCCTCATGAACCTTTGCATACAGATGTATTTTCTTTTCTTTTTTTTTAAGATTTTATTTATTTATTCATGAGAGATGCAGGCAGAGGGAGAAGCAGGCTCCATGCAGGGAGCCCGATATGGGACTTGATCCTGGGACCCCAGGACCACGCCCTGGGCCAAAGGCAGGTGCTCAACTGCTGAGCCACCCAGGTGTCCCTGTATTTTTATTCAAAATATGAAAGCAAATAAGAACAAAAGCAGAAGCAAACCTCCATAGAATCCGGTTTCAAACAGTTTCGTTTTCAGGTGCCGCCACTGTCTACATTTTGCGGATATGAGTACAGGTACTCCGAGGCACAGGGGGCAGCTCACTTGATAGTAGTAAGTGGGAGTCTCCACCTTTGGCTGAGGACTGAAGACAAAGCCAGACCCTCTCTGGAGCCAAAAGTGGGTGGGGAGGGGAAACCCAGTACCCAGAGGGAGGGAGGAGAATGCTCTGCAGCCACACGGTGACCTAAGTGCTGAAACTACTTCCGGGTTTTACTGGTAGTCCCAGTGCTGATTATTGTTTTAGCACCATGGTAATTCCCCAGATGTCTTGGTTAAACTTTGTATTTGGGAAAGGTGGTCTCCATTGTCGGGGAGCGGGTGGCGGCGGGGAGTCTCATATCCAAGATGAGTGGTGAGCACTGTCAGATCTAAGAGGAGTGGTGAACACTTGGATCCAAGGTCAGTGGTGAACAGGCTCAGGTCCAGGGTGAGTGGTGAGCACTCAGATCTAGGAGGAGTGGTGAGCACTCTCGGATCCAGGATGAGGGGTGAGCACTCTCAGATCCAAGGTCAGTGGTGAGCACGCTCATCGAGTCGTGGGCTGTGTCCTGAAAGCCCCTGGAGATGCCCCTTCTCCGAAGCTCAGGTCTGACTGAGGCTGGGACGCAGCCAGTGCGATAGCTGTCTTCTGTAAGGGAGTGATTTCCGAGAGAGACCTCCGAGGCCCCACTAGGCTCCAGACCCGGGGAGTTGTTGAGAGCTGCGCGGATGGAGGTGGGGTCACGTCAGCTCTTGCCCGCTTGGACGAGCAGAGGAGGTCCTCGTGTACGTGGCTGGTATTCGGATTTCCACTCTATGATCTGGAATTTGCTGACTCCGTGTTTGGTGAGAGACCTGCTAAATGTTGACCAAAGAAGCGGTGTCAGAGTTAGACTTTGGACCCAGCCATGAGGGGGGTTGCAGTGGAACGTCACGAACAAATACCCAAGTAACCTCTATGCCCAGAAGCAGCGCTGAGCCATCTCATTTCTGAGACCCCTTAAAAACGTTTGAATCGGTGAGCTGCTGGCAAATATCCTCTCGGCCTCAGCGTTCTTCGAGGGGCTGAGAAAGCAGCCGCAGCGCCCTGCCGTGTCCACACACCACTTCATTCCAGTGTGCCTTAATATTTAGGGCGATTTGATGTGTTTTGACCCCAAACCCTTAAATCTTTTGGAAAGTGTCTTTGAGTTGCCAGTGTCCCTCACGCCGGAGCCCTGATTCCAGAAGTGTGTCGGGAACTGCTGCAGCACGTGACAACTCCTGGCTTAGATTTCTTCCTGGCTTCTAGGACATTCCCCTCCTTCCCCTTAGACGCAGCCGCCTTGAAGTTGCTGCGTCCATCCTGGAAGCAGCCAGCGAAGAGCCCACGGTGTTCGTAGGGTCCCCTAGTAAACACTGGGGACCAACCAGGATGGGCTGTGAGTAGGGACGACGCACCCCGCGACAGCCACTTCTAGGTCGAGAGCAACCTGCTGAAAAGTGTTGTTTTGATAGTTTAAAGGATTATTTTTAAAGCTTCTTGAGTCTTTCCTCCTGACTTTGACTACGGAGGTTTTGATTTATGGCGACAACATGTCATGCGTTCCTGTTGGAAATGGAAGGCGATGTCAAACTGAACTTGGGTCTGGAAACAAGCTTCAGTAGCTGAGACCTTGTCTCCTGGACTCCCGTCCACAGGCCCGTCAGGGGGTTTCCTGTGCCGGCTGATGAAACGTCCGTGTACAGAAAGTGATTTTCTTAAGGAACAGACGACGCTGGCAAGCTGTGTTTTGTTTCATAGCCGCACCTTTTTATGATAACTGGTGTTTTTAGAGAAATGGAAGAAATCGTTTGAGCTATGAGATGGTCCCTTGGTTGAGTGAGTTGGCTTTAAACGTGGACCCCGGGGGTACCGCAGAGTCCCCCAGGCCCATGACTGCGACAGGGTGGCTCTGCGTGCACTGCGGTTCTCCACGGGCCTGGCCCTTTCCTCCCCACCCGTCCCCTCCCGTTGCCAGAGAGATCTTGAGCTCAGGTCTCTTTCTGAAGACGTAGCTCCAGTGCGGTGCTTGCCACGCTCAGCTTGTCCTTGCAGCTGGGCTGCGGGGCCGTGGTTGCGACCTACCTGTCCCTTCCTCAGTTCCCGTCTCTACCGGGTTCGCCCACTCCCGGGTTGGTGCTGTTGTCATCCTCGTTTTAGAATAGAGTCAGGGGTGCAGAGTCGTGATCCACCTCCCCCGCCGCCCCCCGAACCTCAGTGATGGAGCTGGATTTGCACCCCAGGCCGCCTGACTCCTGATGCGTCTGCTCTGTGTCCCCCAGGGGCCTTCGGGGACTTAGCCAGGCAGATTGCTCCTTAAGGCCCGGACTCCTCCCCTGGATCGTAAGACAGACGTCAGGGGGCTTCATTGTCCTCCACTGGAAATGAGACCCCACCGCTGGGCCTTTCTTTGCTCATGTGCGTCCTTCTCCAGGAATCAGGGGAGGTGGAGACGGGGCCCGTGATAGTCCAGTGGTGACGTTTGACAGAGAAGAATGTTTATCTGAAAACGTGTGTATCTCTGTTCCCTCAGGTTCTCCCTACTACGACAACGTCCGGCCCCTCTCCTATCCCGATTCGGATGCTGTGCTGATTTGCTTTGACGTCAGTCGGCCGGAGACCCTCGACAGCGTCCTGAAAAAGGCAGGTGCTGGGGGGCTGGTGGCTTGGTTCAGGCCTGGCCCATGCGCAGAATAAATGCGCGGGGCTGGGGAGCACCCACGCTCTGCTTGGCACCTCGCCGTGTGTTCTGGGAACCAAAACATTGGAAAAACCCACTCGCACACCGCGACGGGTTTCCAGGCGGCTGTCACGAGGTTCGACGCTGAACCTGTGCAAGATTTTCTTTCCTGTTAAGAAACGACGTAGCCGTTGAAGAGCCTCCGTGGTTGCCCTGCGGGCCGAGGCCTAACGCGAGGGCCCTGCCGGCTCCCAGGCAGGCGGCTCTCCCATCCACCGTCCCCCTCGGGCTCGGGCTCGCGCCGCGGTGGACACCTTTACGTTTGACCTCACTGCGGTACTGAGATGATGCCATCTGTTGTACTGTGATGCCATCTATTAGAGGTGGAGCGGCTCCGGGGAGGGCGCAGGGATGTTTCCAGACCTGAGACTAAGGGAGTTGCGGTGACGAGACGGAGGAGATCCCAGAGCGAAGGAGCCTGGCTGTACACGGGCTGCTAGGGGATGCGTCTAGGGCCTGGGGGTGGCGGAGGGCCGGGCCCAGGCCAGGAGGAGGGCACCTGGTGGCGGGGGCTGGTGTTCCCGGTCCCGGCCCGAGCGCCGTCAGGTTTCAGATGATAGTTGGCGGCTCGTCTTACGTGTCCAGCTTTGGAGGTGGTTTATTCCCCCCGCACCCCGTGTCTTTACCAAACATGACAAACGCCGTTCGCTCGGTTGCATACGAATTTCGCAGGAGATCAAAGGCTCTCTAAGTCTGTCCAGCTGTGAGTCGTGTGGCACCCACGCACGGAAGGCTCCTGTTTGTCGCCCGGGCAGGAGCACCCCTTTCCCGGCCTCCGCGCCTGTAAACAACTGCTCGGCGTGCAGCGGGCGGCCCGAGTCGTTGCCCAGCCGCCGAGCACCGCCCGGGCTGCACTGCCTGTGTGCAGATGAAAGGCACCGCTTATTTACCGGGGGTTCTCCTCCTGTCCATCAGGTCACGCATAATTCGGGATGAAACTCCTTGCTCTTGCTTTATTTTGCTTTTGTCTTCTGAGACCTAATGTAGTGACTTTGGCCTTAGAGATATTAATGGACGTGTCTTGCGTTTGTGTCAAGTTTAAGGCTCAGCATCACCGGTGCTGGGACTTGTCTTGAGGAACTGACTCCGCAAGTCCTTGACTATCCACGCGTTCTGAGTGATATAAAGCAGAATAGTTTTTGGGTTTTTTGTTTTTTTTTTTCCAGTTCATCCTCCAGTCGCTATGTCAGCGCCCTCTAGCAAGTGGTAGATGCTTGTAAATAACTCTGGAGAGAAGGAAAAAAGGAGGCAGTTGGCAGATACCTGAGGCTTTCATGGGAAGTGTGTCCCTTCCCTGGGTCTGCCCCAGGTGCGCCTCTAGATCTGCACATGCCGCCTCCAGTGGTCTGTTAAACGGCTCCTGCAGTTTGTCCCCGTTACCTTGTATTATACACATGGCTTGGTCACCCTCGCCCCTCGGTGAATTCCGCACCTCTGTCTTCACCTTTGTGACTACCACGGTACCCAGTAGAGCACTCGATGCATATTTGAGCACGTGGCCTGGGTGAGCCAGCCTGGTTCCTGATTGCAGCTGTCTGGTGCCCCCTCCCCAGGAACCAGAGCTCTCCTGGGAACATTCTGAAACCTTCACTCCCATCCTTTTTTTCTAATGGTCAACTGGTCTTTCTTAAATTTTATTTTTTATTATTATATTTTTATTATTATTTGTATACATTTTTTGGAGTTCAGTTTGCCCAACAAATATTGTAACACCCAGTGCTCATCCTGTCAGGTGCCCACCCTTCACTCCCATCCTGATGGTCGCCTTGAGCTTGAGGAAATGGAACCACAAGAAGGCAGTTGTCTGCTCTTTAAGAGGAAGTTGGAATTCCCTGCTTAGGCATCTCTGGAGGTTCTAATAATTCTCATCAAGTCTTACAACAAGTAGCCAATTGGACTGAATTGGAATTGAAATAGTAAACAACTTGGGTAATTTAAAGCTGACTTCAGGGCCTCTGTGCTTAGGGCCAGATGCTTTCCCAGGAGCCCAGGAGATGGGCCTTTTTGACCAGGCCGCAGTCCGTGTTGATCCAGTCACCTGAGTGGAGGTTCCTTAAGGGCAGGACAGTCTGTTCATGAACATTGTCTCCAGCCCCAGAAACCTCATCAGCAATTCCAGCTCAGGGGAGCTGTGCAGTCGTCCTCGATGGGCCTTGGAGGTGCATACTCGTGCTTGTGCTTCCTCTGCCTTCCTCCCAGCCTTCCGTGCTGGGAAGTACCAGCTCCGTGAATCTGAGGGCATAGTCCCTTGTTAGAACATATAATCATTCCTCAGGCACTTTCATCTTGCAGAGATACCCCAATAATCAAGGAATTATTGAAGCTGCCTTCTGACAGCAGCACCCTACAACTCTCCTGCAGTAGGGACGGGTCATGAGCCGCACAGAGAGGGAGGATAGATGAGAATACATACAAGTGTTCCCCAGTGAGTCCACTTTAAAAAGTAGTAAAGTTTGGGGGCACCCGGGTGGCTCAGCCCATTGAGTGTGTTTGCCTTTGGCTCAGGTCATGGTCCCAGGGCCCTGGGATACGAGCTCTGCATCGGGCTCACTGCTTAGCCGGGAGCCTGCCTCTCCCTCGACTCACATGCATGCTCTCTCGACTAAATACATAAGATTTTAAAGAGGAAAAGTTAATGTCTACTTAGAAGGTAAATGCAGGTGTGCTTCTTCATCTCAAGGGACACTCCTAAATGTTCCTTTTGTGCCCCATTCCGGGCTTCAGCCCGTGGAGGGCTAGTGACCGACCTACAGATGCCCGCACGTTGTTGACTCTTCATCTCTCTGTCTCTCCCTGTAGTGGAAAGGTGAGATCCAGGAGTTTTGCCCCAACACCAAAATGCTCTTGGTTGGCTGCAAATCTGACCTCCGGACAGATGTCAGCACATTGGTAGAGCTCTCCAATCACAGACAGACCCCGGTGTCCTATGACCAGGTATGTACGCTGTCAGGGTGCAGATACGGTTTTCAGAAGTAGGACATTGGGGTCCCCAGGGAGCTCAGCGGTTTAGCACCTGCTGTTGGCCCAGAGTGTGATCCTGGAGTCCTGGGATCGAGTCCCACATCAGGCTCCTCGCATGGAGCCTGCTTCTCCCTCTGCCTGTGTCTCTGCCTCTCTCTCTCTCTCTCTCTCGGTCTGTATTCTCATGAATAAATAAATAAAATCTAAAAAAAAAAAAAAAGAAGTAGGATATCACTCATGATAAAAAGGAGCCGCTTTTCTAAGGGCTCAACCAATGGTCGGCCTCAGGTTGACGACCCTTGAGTTATGCTGTAGAATGAGCTTGGATTATGTGAGGATCTGTGTGTGAGCATAAACAGGACAAGTTTGGAAAGCATCTTTCAAAATGAGAACAGTTCTGTTGTTCAGTAGGGTCATCACATGACACTTGATGCCTGAGTGTAGACAGAGGCTCATAGTCTACCCCTTGTATGTCTCTGCAATGCTCACTGGGATTAAAGTTAAAAAATCTAAGGGTGCCTGGGGGCCTCAGGGGTTGAGCACCTGCCTAGGGCTCAGGGCGTGACCCTGCGGACCCGGGATTGAGTCCCACATCGGGCTTCTGCATGGAGCCTGCTTCTCCCTCTGCCTGTGTCTGCCTCTCTCTGTGTCTCTCATGAATAAATAAAGTCTTTAAAAAAAATGAAAAAGTAAAAAATCCAAAAGAGAATGTGGTCAAATTGGTAATACTCTTGAGAGGGTTGATCTTACTTTACGCTCAGCAGCACAATAAAATACTTGAGGAGGACGTTGCCAGTAAAGTAGAAGTCTCCATGAAACGGTCTTTTAGAGACTCGTCATTTCCCTGGGCATTTTCCCCAAGTATCTAGAAGGGAAGAGAATTGGCGTCAGATGTTCATTCTCCTAGAACTTAAAACCAGGTTCTAAAGAGACTTCAAGTCGAAGTAGCTACGACTGTCCTTCGTGGTCACCTTCTTGAATACTGTGGTGTTATGTATCTAATTAATAAAAACTTAGTAAGTTAAATAAGTCCTTTTGATGCACACGTGCTCATTACTGTGCACCCTGGTTGCCTGGTCCATGCTGGACCTTCCGTATTGTGTGTTTCCCGAAGTCCCAGGTATCGTAAGAGTGTTGTTCCTCTCCTCAATGCATTTTGGCCACGCCTTTCAAAATTGATTCTAAATTCCATCCCTTGCCCTTCCCCGGTTTTTATAAAGCTTATTGATGAGTCTTTATTGACCAATCTTGAGCCCCATTTACACTCATGAAAAATCAGACTTTCGTACCTCCGGGAAATCCAGCACTGTATTGAATGATGAGAATCGAACACCTTAGGACGGAGTCTTGGCTGCAGATATTAATGAAATAATCCATTGTTATTATAATTTATTAAGAAATCATTAAATTGTTTAAAAGAAGGGGTTTGGGGGCAGTTTTTTCGCAGCAACACTTGGAAAGTACGGTTCACGTGCTAGAAACGTTTCACGATTCATTGTTATTTTGTGGTATTGGGAAGACACTGTTGCATCTTCCCCAAAGACCTGTTGCTGATCGCGACCCATTCTTCTGCTTCTCAGGGGGCAAATATGGCCAAACAGATTGGAGCGGCCACGTACATCGAGTGCTCGGCTCTACAGTCAGAGAACAGCGTCAGAGACATTTTTCACGTTGCCACCTTGGCGTGTGTCAACAAGACAAATAAAAACGTTAAGCGGAACAAATCTCAGCGGGCCACAAAGCGGATCTCACACATGCCCAGTAGACCCGAACTGTCTGCGGTCGCCACGGACTTACGGAAGGACAAAGCCAAGAGCTGCACCGTGATGTGAGTGCCCGCCCCCGGTAGTGCGGGCGCCGAGGGCCGGCTAAGAGAAGCCAACCCGCGAAGCAAAAAGGTGGAATCTGAATGAAGTGCACAGCCCAAGTCCGCATGCCGGCGGCTTAGGAGGTGTTTGAAAAGATGCTCATCTTTTTGGAATCCCGTCCTTAGGTTCGGCACGTAGAGCAGATGGTGAACACGTTGAAGAGTTTGGAGGTGTGACTTGAAAAATATGCCAAAAAAGAGAGATCCCCCCCCCCCCCGGGCTGGAGGTAGAGAAGGAGGAGGACGACGAGGACCTCCACGAAGAAGGATCACGCTCTGAATGGTGCTTGCGTTTTCGTTTTCTTTGTTGCAATCTCTTCATGGATCTCGACTCTTTGATTTGATTTTTAAATGTTTTAATCTCCTTTACAGAAAGTATATATTAATATACCGTCCTCGCCGGGGAACTGGCACTGTGACCTTAGCGTTTAGTTTTCTAGAGGATGTGATCTAATTTCCTCCTAGCTCATCATTAAAATGGAAATTGTATCAGGACCCGTGGGATCTCCAGAGGAAAAGTTCGTGAGGCTCCGAAATCTTGCCTCCCCGAAGATAGCTGAGCAAGATGGTTCTGAGGAAAGGCTTCTGGAGTCTTGCGAGATAATGCGGACCGGCGCTACCAAGACGAAATAGATCAAATAGAGAAAAGGGTGTCCGTTTTTATTCAGTCTGATGGTTCTGTTCATCATTGTGATTGTCATTAAAAAGTGGTAAATTGCTCAGTGTAATATTTTTGTGCGCTGTTTAGAAAAGAAGGTGTGTGATTTCTTTTGCCATCGTTGATGAAGGTGCAGAGTCAGATAAGAGGTGTCTCAGTTTGACGTCAGAAAATGATCCAAGGGAAGGGGGGGAAGTGTAGGTACTATTTTCGCCCGGAGAGATAATGAAGGAATAGCAGCGGAAAGCACACATCTGTGAGTAAAGCTTTGGGATCCCGTTACCAAAAGTACAAAGCAAAAGGCCCGTTATCTTGGGATGAAGCACCAAAGCTTGGCAGCATCTGATGATCTCTTGGTTTATTTCACTTTTTTCAAAGAACATCGGTAAGAGAAGGGACCTTCTTACCTAAGCTTCAGAGAATCCTTAGAGGAAAGGTGTGCCAGCTCAGTCCCGACGCTACGCTAGGGCGTTTCCAGAGAGCGATTGCTAAACCTCACGTACCCGGATTCAGCCAAGGCCCGCGTTCAATACTTGATTGCTGTTGTTACGTGAAATAATCAGCATTTAAAATAGTTTACAGATATTTTTTTGACCAGTTCCTTTTAGAGCTTCTTTCAGAGAAGAAACCAGATCTGACCTGTTTATTGTTGGCGCTTGTTGAAAACGAGCTTTCTTTCCAATGATGAAGCTTCATTTTTGAAGTGTTGAAGCTGTGCTCCCATTAAATTGTGGCAGGAGAGGAGATTAAGGTAATTACAACACTCAGTTCTTTGTCTTACAAGCACTTTGTTTGGTCTCTGCGAGAAAATACCATTCCCATCATTTCCCACGAAATACAGACGTTTTACCGACATACTATGCTTTGATCGAGGCAGCGTTATGCTTTGGGCAGTATTACAAAATAGCTGGCAAGTGCTTTCTGTATTTAAATATTGTAAAGAGAAAATAAGTTATAACTGTTATAAAGCAGAACTTGCGTTGCATTTTTTTAAATGTCGAAGTCACTTTGTATGTTTGTTTGGTCAATGTTTCCGCAGTATTTATTAAAACATACTTTTTTTCCCCTTCGAATAAAAAAGTAACCACGTCTTTGTCTAAATGTGATTTGTCCTTTTATCTGCTTTCTGATGTAGCTGTTTGGTTTTATTCTTTACTATAGAGCTGATGAGAGCATCCGGCCTCAAGTTTTCTGAACTCGTAGGCTTTGGAATTTCCTGATGGCTTGCCCACAGTGCAAGTTCCTCAGGCAAAGGTAAATCCACATAGATGAGAGGTTTTCATCATTTTCAAATCTCAAGAAGAAAATGGAGTGTAGTCAAAGTGATTCGCTCATAGACCAAAAGAGCTACGATCCTAAGATTCAAAAATAGGGAAAGAATCTTAAAATTGTAAGGAAATAGGAAATTCCTGGAGCTCTTTAGTAGTGAGACAGTGTGATGCAGTCCCAGGTCATGGGTTTCATTCTGTGGAGGAGCCTGGTTTGCTTCCCTTCCCATGGTCCCCCACTCCGTCCCCCACCCCCGGCCTCCATCCCTAATCCACCTTGGATTGCGTGTTCTTGTTCACAGAGGCCAGTTGTGTTGATGACTCAGGACCGAGCTATGAACAACAATTACAGGGAAGGAACAACAACAAAAATAAAGCACAAGAAGAAATGGCCTTGTTTATTGTAGCAGCATCTCCAACTAACACAGGAAGACAGTATAAGCTTTTCCAGTGCCCTGAAGGATGCAAGCATGGGATGGTTAGCAGCATGAGTGGCCTGGGTCCTCATAAACCCAGTAGGTTCACGAACGGTCTTTAGCTAAAACCCTTACACAGATGTTCCGCATGAGTGTCCAGGGGTACTCCACAGAGGACTTCAAAACAGCTCTTCTCGCTGCACAGCTAAGTCACTTCCTGTAAAAACTGCATCCTTGTGGATTTAAAAAAAAAATGACTTTAGCAATCTTTGAGGGATAGTTACTTGCTTGAAAAATAATTCTCAGAAGCACAAACCAAGGGGAAAACCAGAGAAGCTGGCACGAATGAACAAAGTTAAAGCGCATTGACATAATAGGATAGCCTTATGAAAAAATTCAGCAAGCACGAGGAATTACCAAAAATGTAACTCATTCTTGTCAGTAAGCAGTAAAGGAAATAAAAGTACTTTCCTAATCCTTGGTGTTGAGTAACTCCTAGGCTTAATACCTAAATCAGGCTTGCAAGAAACTCCTTTCTCAACGAGCACAAGCACAGAAACACACGGCTGAGGTTCTGCTGACCTTGGCAGTATTTTATAGGTTGTACAGTAATGTTTCCCTCTAGCGAATTGTTCTTTTCCAGCAGCTTTAATTTGTTAAACCAAAAAGAAAAAAAAAAGTTTGTCTTCAGCCCTGGGCATGTATGCCTTCCTTTTCTCCTCTGACTTTTTGCTTCTGCAAACATTTATTCTAAGCATTCTGTGCACATTCCTTTCTATTGATTAATGATCATGATTAATGCCTCCTTAAATACTAAAAGGTGATTTTCAAACTTGGAGTAAGACTTTAATTGTGTCTCTCTCACTTCTATTAATCTTTTCCAGGAATAGTTGCCTGGAAGACTCTGGTCTTTTAGAAAATGTGCCTTAAGTGCAAATTTAGAAATAACCCAGGGAATTATTTTTTATTAAAAGGAATTTAAAAAAATCACCTCACTCCCTTAAGATTGCTGAAACTGTGAAAGCTTCATATCCTCTTTTTGATGGATTATTTTGACATAATAAGAGAGCATTCTCTTTTAAATCACCCCAATTTTTGTTTGTCATTCTTTCATTGGCCACATATTTCTGAGTCCTTACCATGTGCCTCGCCACTTTTAGGCCTGGAACATAATCGCAACAAAAAAATCTGTCCCGAGAGTTTACAATCTAATGGAGGGAGACAGTCCCGATGCACAATGTCTGGGTGTGGTTTCCATCAACATTAACTGAGCCGGAAATGCTGGGTCGGTGGGAAACATGACAGCGGGTAGCCAGGTACACCAATGCAATAGCCACCAATGGTCCGTGTTGATGCTGTGGTTTCTGTGCTGCACCAACGATGATGCAGAAGGAATATTCAAGTGATCCTAACAGCTGGAGTCCATTTACGGTGATCGAGGAAGAGCGATGTGAATGCTGGTTGCCAGGCATCATTTTAGTTTCTGTACAATGACTTCGGTTTCTGCGGCTGGTTTTAGGAGTCCAGTAGGGGACAACGTCCTTCCCGTCTGAACCTGAAAGGCCTTCAATCTGTTTCTTATAAAACGTGCTGGGATTGTTAAAGAGTTGTACTCTGTTTCCATGAAGTCTTCACTTGTTGAACATACTAGAAAAGTAAAAAGGAAATAAAGTGTGAAATAAATGGAAAGCACCCCAATTATAAAATGAAATGAGCTCTCGAGAAATTATAGGATTAACTCAGGGGGTATTTCTAATGGCACTTTGGGTGAAGATGCAGAACTCATTACCTAATGTCGAAAATAGGTATTTAGTAGGAAGTAAAGTAAAAAATCTTTTTGAAAGTATTCACTAACAGTGAATTCTAAGACTCTTTGTCTCTGACCCCTTTGGGAACACAGGAAACAAATCCTAATGAACCCCAAAACAAGAAATTTCAGGATTGGCAAAACCAATTTACTCTTTGGGACTTTTTTTTTTTTTCTTTCTTTCAGATTTTGTTTCCTTTGAGGGGAATCATTAGTGCCTTTCTTCCATGAACAGTGAAATGAAATTTTTAAAAGGCATTCCACAATGGAAATGAAAACTAGGTCAGTATATGGTCAGCCCTACCGTCAAAGTAATAGTTAGCACTGATACTGCACAAAGTATGTGCCAGGAGCTGTTCTAATTTATATAATAACTCCTTCCCCATTATAAATAGATTTAGTAGGTTAAGTGCAATCAAGTTCCCCCTCCTTCAGCTAAGGAACCAGGTGTTTTCTTCAGAATCTCATGGAGGACCCGAGATTAGAACTCAGGCAGGGCAGCTGGGCTCTGCAAGCACACACTCTTCACTACAACACTATCTTGTCGTAACACAGACTTCATGGGTATGGAGCGTGTCCCAGGTGCGTGGAAACCGAGCATCATGGCCATGCATCTGAGCCAGAGTACATCCCCCGTGATCTCCCCAGGTCTGCACCGCTACTTGTCCATCCCATGTTGCCAGCTACTTCTTGACGCTGCTCACACTCCCGTTCCCTCTTTCACCTCTGCTGTTACTTCTGTGCATGTTTGCCCTGCTTCTTGGGGGGCAAGAGCATTCCTAGGAGACAGTGAAAGGACCTGTCCTGGTCTGCTGAGGCTCCCATAACAGAATACCACGGCCTGGGTGGCCCGCACAACAGACATTTCGTTGTCACAGTTCTGGAGAATCAAAGTGCAAGATGGAGGTGCCAGCCCTTGGGTTCCTGATGAGATTCTCTTCTTGGATTATAAACGGCCATCTGGTCGCTGTGTGCTCACGTGGCCTTTCTTCCGTGTGTATGGAGAGGGCGTGGAGGGCGGGAGATATCTTCCTCTTTTTTTTTTTAAGATTTTATTTATTTACTCATGAGAGACACAGAGAGAGAGGAAGAGACACAGGCAGAGAGAGAAGCAGGCTCCATGCAGGGAGCCCGATTTGGGACTTGACCCTGGGACTTCATGATCACACCCTGGGCCAAAGGCAGGAGGTAAACCGCTGAGCCACCCAGGGATCCTCTCTTCCTCTTCTTAAAAAGCCACCAGTCCTATTGGATTAGGACCCTACATTTATGACCCCCTTTCACTTTAATTACCTCCTAAAGGCCTCAACTCCAATCCTTATCTTTGGGAGTTAGGGCTTCAACACATGAATTCTGGGGGACACAGTTCAGTCTGTAACAGGACCCACAAATGGCAGACACATAAGCCCTTTCGAAATCCAAGGAAGCCAATTAGAGGAGGAAGCTACTCTTACTCACTTTGGGTCTCCCAAGGGTGCACCCACAGTAAATTACTGTTTAAGAATGTTGAAGAATAGCTAAAACTTATGTTCCTTCGCGGGGGCTGACATAGTTCTAGAGAACAGAGATGGACAGAGAAAACTCAGCTCCATGAAAACAATGCAGTGATTTGCATGGGATCGATCATTCCCAGGGTGAATTAGCTAACTTTAACAGAGCTGAGAGACATGCTGCATGTACCTGTCATCAGGATGGTGTGACGTTCCCTCTTTTCTAAGTGCCATTGTACGCTTCTGGAAAAGAAGTTTGTCATCCTCCTCTTGTTTGTCTGGTTCCCAACCTTCTGAGGCCCTGCCCTTCATCTGCTCACTGTCCAACTGGGCCAAGTGGTCATTTCTAATCATTTGTTCATCTTTCCTCAAGCATTACGTTTTCAAAGAAGGCCAAAGGCAATCAACTAATATGACTTTTATGGTCTTTTTAACATCATCACCGAGTCTGCAAAGGTCTGGACTTTCTTGGTCACTCTGTGCCCAGATTTTCTCCAATCTGTGCATGTGGACTTCCAGGTCTCCTCGTGAGATAGCAGAACCTCCAGGGTGCCTTGAAATGCCTGACTCTTAGCTCTACAAGGAAGAGACAATGTTTTATACTAATGCATACCCATCATTTGCAACAGTAGATAACAGGTTAATTAATTAATTAATTCACAACTTGAACTACCAAATAAAAGGGTGCTCTTTGGGTTGCTAAGGCCTGATTTGAATCATATCTAACAGCCCAGATTAAGCAGAGTTCTTAGGATTGTCTCAGCCCCTGAAAGCTTGCTGGGTCTGGAATTACCCTAATGGGAAGACAAGACTACGCAGGAAATCTCTGTGTACCTGTGGCCCTCTGGAATGTACTCACCCCATATTTATCCCAACCCTGTATTTGTGCCCCTTCTCCACTGCATCCATCTCCACTGCCAGGAAAATATCAACCTATAAGAATGCCACAGATACTCTCATTTCATTTAGCTATAGCACACAGCTAATGCATAATAATAATAATAATATTGCAATATATAATATTATATTATTGAAAATCTTCCCAATTTTCCAGCCTTCATATATAAGCACTCTAGAAGTGGGGTATGTGACAAATTGCTGGGGAAGG